ATTTAATGTCAATTTTCTGTTAAGGAAATATGAAACTTGAATATTAAATTTCATATTGTTCAGTTGGAAAACGTTTCCTAAATCGGAGCTATACCAATCGAGGTTATAAACCCTGAAAAACAGAAATATAATTGCAAAATTTATTTTGAAATAAATAAATCTTCTCAATTGGACAAATCTATGCTTTGAAATTTTAGGTACTTTTACAGTTATACGCCCATGTGCTGCATTTCGAGTTTGCTTGAATGTGAAACATTTTCCCAAATTTGGTGTGCTCCATTCCGAATTCCCAAAAAAATATTGGGAATATAATTCGAGCACATATAGCCTTGTGGATTGAAAACGAAATGAGATCGTACGCGTTTTTCTGAGCACGTACAAGTTGAAAAAGAACGCTGAAGTAATATTTAATGTGTTTTTACAATATTTATTTAAAAAATACAGTATTTACATTACTTTTTATAGTAAAATTAAAGAAAATGAAAAAGGGCTCCTTTTATCAAAAACAGCGCGTAACATTTTTGAGATCAATCTGGCAACGCAACCACCATATGATCAATATAAAAATTTAATCTATAAAAAATCTACTTTTAAGATGTTGACAAGATCCATGCTCCACTTGTTTATAACATATTGCTTTCGAGCAGCACTTTCGCTCGAAATTTAGCACACCATTTTGCACAACATGGGAATTTAAAAAAGTATGGGAAGTCAAAAACTCTCGGAACATGTCAAATGGGCGATAATTACTATTTTTAGGTTTCTACACCAAAAATCGAATTGCTTATACAAATGTGTTGAAAACGCTCTGGCTCCCTTAGCTTAAGATAATATACCGCTTGTTTGAGTTTTTCGGCTTGACAATAGCCTCAGACTAACACCGAAACATGTCAAATATTGGTTATGGGAGTCAAAAATCAGGGTTTTATAATGGCCAAAACTATTTTTAGATCGGAACCCTATAGAAAAATCATTGGAGTATCACAGATAGCAAAATCAGAAGAGATTCACAGCCAAATAAACATAACCTCTTCCCACAGGTTTGAGCATCTTATAGATTCAGTGCCTCGTAGGTGTGGTGCCGTAATCAAAAATAATGGTTACGTTATCGATTAATATCTACATTTACTTATTTAAATAAAGAAATCAAAAAGTTTGCAAAAATTAAGTCAATTTAGTTTTCCATAGATTATTTATTAATCTATACTAATAAAAGAGTAAAGCGACTAACGGATAAGGCTGGGTTTTTATGGGTTGGGTTTTTTTATGGAAATGATGTTTGCTAAATGGAACTAAATATGGTAAAATTTGGATTTGGGTGAACCTTTAGAGCATGAATCATGAAATTTGGTACTAAATAGTACCCGAATTTAATTTTTTTGTCGATATTAATGTGTGGGAGTGTATAACTATCGGCGAAGAACTTCCTTATTTTATAACTTAGTTTGTGGTCAAGAATAGGCGAACATCAAAAAAATCAAAGGTCCGCCATTATGTTAATTTTTGAAGGAAGTTTAAATATACGAGATGCAAAATTCATTTTAACATTTTTTCCGCATTTTCAGCTGAGGAGTTACAAATGCCCTCCATCAAAAATAAGGACTTTTCTTTAATCACCAAAAACAAAACAAGACAACAACAACCAAATTTTTGCAAATTATTTTCCTTCTCATTTACAAAAAACATTGTTATTGTTTTTTTGTAATTAAAGAAAAGTCCTTATTTTTGATGGCGGGCATGATAACTCCTCACTGGAACGTCGGAATCCGAAAATTCCAACGGTGTTAGAAAGAGTACATGTCTGGCTCTTGCACTGACTTCGCTCTAAAATTAAAAAAAAGGTGGACCTTTGCAAAAAATATTTTTGGAAAATCGCCGATTTTTTACCAAAACCCAAGTTAAAAAATAAGGAAGATCTTCACCGATTGGCTTTATCCTAGTTCATACGATAGCTATACACTCACAGAGAAACGTGTAAAAATTTGAAATCGATTGGGTTATTCACAGATAGCAAAATCAAAAAAATGTTCACAGCCAAACGCGTTAAAAGAAAACCCCTTCCCATCAGGTTTGACACATCGGCTATATCTCCAGAGCCGTAATCAAAAATATTGGTTACGCTATTGATTAATATCTACATTTACTTATTTAAGGGGACCCCCCATTCTTGGTTTCAAAAAATTTAATTTTGATTTTATTCGAATCTACACTAATTCAAGAATATCCACATGAAATTTCAAGTGAAAATCTCAAAAACTCTTGAAGATATAGCCGATTTATTGTGCTAGCATCAAGTGACGGCAAGAGGGCTTTCAAACTTTCTCCAAACAGCGTTTTTGCGAATGGTGGTAACCATAACTCAAAAACTAGTAATCCGATCGATTCCAAAATTTGGGACGTTTATCTTTGAATGTATAGCTATCGCAGGATAAATCAAATCGGTCAAGATCTTGCTTATTTTTTAACTTGGTTTGTGGTAAAAAATAGGCGATTTTCCAAATATATTTTTTTAAAGGTTCGCAATTTTGTTGATTTTTGAGCGAAGTCAATAATCCTAGTTTATACGAGAACCAGACATGTATCCTTCCCAACACCGTTGGAATTTTCGAATTCCGATGTTCCAGTGAGGAGTTATCATGCCCGCCATCAAAAACAAGGAATTTTCTTTAATCCCATAAAACAACAACAAAACAATAACAACAAATTTGTTTAAATTATTTTTCTTTTCCTTTGAATCTTAAATTAAGAAATCAAAAAGTTTGCAAAAATTATGTGAATTTAGTTTTCCATAAATTATTTATTAACCTATACTAATAAAAAAAGTAAAGCGACTGACGGATAAGGCTGGGTTTTTGGAAATTCGTACTAGAACGGTACGAAAAGTACTATATGTGATATCATTTGTATTTGCTAACCGGAAGAGCTAGAATTCTTAAATTTTAAATGAGGTTCACTGATGGAGTGTAGAATAGATATAGCAGAGGGGTTTTTTTGGACATTCGAACTATACGTATGCCAAAAGTACTAAAATGTACCAAATTTGGTACAATTTCGTAGCATGTGAATGCATAGAGGTAAAAACTTGAAATTTGGTATGCGAATAAGGGTCGATATAAGGAGATGGTTTTGAAAGGGTGTACTCATGTGTTTGAAAAGTACCATATGGTATTATATTTGGTACAAATATGATTTAGAGGTACAAATCGAGGTGGAATACTGAAATTTTAAGTTTGGATCACTGTTGGATTGTGAGGTTAAGATATGTAGGACGTTTTTGAATTTTTTATATAATGTTAACAAAATTTTAACCTATTTTTAAATTGTGTCTTCATTTAAGCTGATATTATTGGAATCCTGAAACATGGATTTAGGATCACTGTGGGGGTGTAAATTTGGGGTATGCGGTAGCATGGGCAAACACATGTGTATAAATTTGGCACAAAATTGAACAAAAAAGGCTGTTACTCATTAATTAACACACTTTTGTTAATAACTTGGAATCTTGAATGCTTTGAATTTAGGATCACTGTGGGAATGTACAATTTGATTTTATATAAAGTTTAAACAAAACATTTCATAGTATTACAACAACAGACAAATATGAAAAAAATGTGGTCTTAATTTTAAATTGCACTAATGGGTAATTACACATTTTAATTTTTTTTAATTTTGTCAAATTACATGCACTCGAACTTGCTGATTTTACACTTTTTATTTCGCTTTGGGGTGTAGGACTTTTTAACCGAATTAGCTGTGTGCGCTGTAATCGCCATACCAAAAATTCTATAATTTTTTTCAGCAATTATTATCGTAAAAAATTTATGTTTGCAACAGCGAATTTTTTCATTTTCTACTGCCGGCATCAACCCATTTTTAAAATTTTTTAAATCATTGACTGTATATATTCATGTGGGGGGAATACAAAAAAATATACCGGCCAAACGAATCCACTTTTTTTACTTGTCAAAATTATTTTTGATTTTCGTAAATTGTTGATAACACAGTCATTCATGTATTCCCAATGCGGTAACATGGTCGGAGATTTTACGACTTCATTTGAACTGATGTCACTAAACCTGTGATAACATAATATCAATTGGAATTACTTACAATTAATTTCCCAGTTGTGTCACAGAATATGTTATTACATCAAATCATAGAGCGATTCCCTTTACTAAAAAGTGTAAATTATATGATTTAAATTTAAATACAAATAATTGCCAACACTAACAAATCTCAATTGTAATTCCAATGACCTTTGTTATCAATTGTATTTGTTTACAAGCTAAAAATCATACATAAATAATTATTAAACAATTGTGCAATTTTAATGTATATTATAAAAGCCACAATGCTTAATTTAGGAAATATTTTTTGGTAGTGTTGGCTGGCGAGTTATTTGGGATACCACTTATATGTTTTTTATTTTATTTTTTTTGCAAAATAGTCACACAGAATCCCAGTTTGTTGTTTTTATAAAAAATCGACTATTTATTAGTGGGATTGTCATTTTTTTTTTTTTCAAATCATCATAAACGAACATTTTGGCTTCGAAAAGGCAGGGCCCATGTTACAGTCCATAGTCAAATATTGTGTACTCAAAACCTATACCACATATAAAATTCCAAATCACAATTGTGATTTTTGGTTTAACATTAAATTTTTGGTTCATTTTATCCACAAGAATTCTGTGTATACTCTAATTTATTAACATTTGTATTTCTGAAAAAGTTTCATTTGATTTTGTTTTTGATAAGTTCGTTGTGGTTTCAGAAAAATTCCCAATATCGGCAGTATGTAATTGTCTATCACCAATTCCATTCATTCACAAATCTGAAAGCGTAATCTATACTTGTACAGATTTCCCTTTCAGATAAGAAAAATAATTAAAAATCCGCTATAATTTATTTCTATAAAATGATCACAAAATGTAATCAGTAAACAGTTCTAACGAAACACAAAGGTCAGCTAAGGCGGATGAAATCACCATTATTTCGGAAATGAAATTAAAACAAATACCTATTCTAATTAGTTGTGTATCAATTTTCCTAGCGAATGGCCAAACGGCTGCTGCCATCGAAAATAAACATCGCGGAGTGAATCGTCAACATGAAAAATACATTGAGAGCTGTATAAATTTGAATGTAGATCCTTGTGAGAATTTCTACGAATATGCTTGTGGAAAATGGCAAGAATATCAGGTATCGGAAGGTGGGGAAGATATTTACACGGAAATGTTGGGTTTAGCAAGCTATAAGGCCAATAAGGAATTGGCTAGGAAATTGGATGTTATGGAGTTAAATGATATGCCCGACTTTGTGAAGAAGTTTAAAATCGCTTATGACTCTTGTGTAACATTGAAGGATTTCGATCTTCTGCATTATGTGAAATGGCTGAGGAACAATGAAAATATAACCCTTCCCGCAATGGATGAATTTAACTATGAAGATACGCAAAATTTTGATTGGATTGAAAGTTTAGCTGTACTAAGAAGATATGGCCTAAATCGTATATTGATCCAGGAAAACATGATAGTCACAAATAATGACACTAAAAAAATGATTCTTAGCATTGGGCAACCTGAAGACAATTTTTTGAAATTGACTTCGAAAAATTTGAAATCGCTGCTAAATTCCATGTCTATATCCTTAGATCCTATGGATTTTCAGATACTTTGGCAAGAAATTCAACAAATTGAGCAGCGCATAAAAATTATGCAAATGGATGAAGAGGAACAGTCGGATGATATGTATGTGAAATTAAAAGATTTAACATTGCCCTGGCTGAGAAAATATCTCTCTAGACTTCTGAATCAATCAGTATTGGATGACAACATTGAAGTTCAAATCGTAAATATAAATTATTTAGTATCCCTCGTCGACAATCTGACAAAAGATTTTAACAATTTTCAAATCTGTAAATATTTGGCGATTCGATTTTTATGGCTTTTACATCAGAATACACCCACAAACTTCTCACACTGGGAATGTGCAGATATGCTACACAGTCTTTTACCCTTGGCCAGCAATTGGTTATACCGGGAACAGCATTCCCAATTGACATATATTGTACCAGAAATGGAACAAATCTTTCAGAATATTGTTCTGCAATTTAATCAGTCTTTAAATGAGCAAAAATCATTTCTAAATCCTAAAAGTTTCCAATATCTTTCGAAAAAATTATGGGCCATCAAATTAAAAATCGGTAATTTACCCGAAATTCGCACAACGGAATTCGTTGAACACTTCTATGGCAATATCTCGTTGTCCTCCGAAGACTTCTATGGAAATCATTTGAAATTATTGGACTTTGCATTTTATGCCACTCATGTGATTGTGCCAAACATTCCACAAACAGATTCTATGCAATATTTTTACATCTTCAGTCTCGATGACAATATTCTCCCCTCACCATATTATGACGTAGACCAGAATATAGTTGTTGTACCCTATACATCTTTACGTCCACCTATATATCATCGGAATTTCGAGCAAGTATACAAATACAGTGCCCTCGGCTCGGCCATTGGTCATGAAATATTCCATTGCTTTGACAATACAGGCCTGCAATTCGATGCTACAGGTCTAATAAATACAGCGGAATATAATCGTATTTTGGAAACACCAATAATTGCAAAAAACATAAAATGTATCAATAATCTGAATCCTGCATCTTTGGATGAAAAAATAGCAGATATAAGTGGTTTACGTTATACCTATAAGGCATTTGTCAAGCAGTTTCCTAAAGCCCACACACAGACTCGACTTATTCATGGCAAATCAATGAAATTAACCGAAATATTTTTCTTGAATTTTGCTCAATACTATTGTGATATCGAAGGCAATGAAGATGACGATAATTATGATGAACATGGTTTGGCCAGTGACCGGGTAAATGATGCTCTTGGTAATTTAATAGAATTTTCTAATGTATATAATTGTACGCCTGCAAGTAAAATGTATGCCATGGAACGATGTCAAATGTGGAGGCGTTGAGTTTGTTGTTGTTTTAATTAATAAAGAAATTTAATAAATATTGGTATAATCCATTCGTTTTGAAGTGTTTCTATACCCTTCACCACACTGTGGTATAGGTTATTATGTATTTGTGAATATGTTTGTAACAGGGAAAAGGAAACGAGATAGACACATGGTTCCTTTTGAGAATATGCATAGAATCACTTTCTGAGTCGACTTATGCATGTCCGTCCGTCTGTCCATGTTAAAATGTAAACAAAGTACAGGTCGCATTAATAATCCGAATTGGATGAAATTTGGCACAGCTCATTCATTTGGCCCAAGGTCGAACCCTATTGAAATTGGCAAAATCGGTTCATATTTAAATATAGCTCCCATATATATATTTTCGTCCGATTTAAGGTAAATAGTGCACCAAAGTACCTATATATCTTTCGATTTGCACGAAATTTGGCATAGCGTACTAAATTAAGTCTATAGTGATGTGTGTTAAATTTCCTGAAAATCGGTTCAGTTTTAGATATGGTTCGCTATATATTTTCGTCCGAGTTTATGTAAATGGTGTACCAAAGTTCCTATTTATCTTTCGATTTGAATGAAATTTGATATAACTTACTGTGGAAATTGGTTCAGATTTAGATGTAGCTCCCATATATATTTTCGTCCTTTTTAATGTAAATGGTGCACCAAAGTCCTTACACATCTTTTGATTTGCACGAAGTTTGGAATAGTGTACTAAATTTAGTCTAAAACTATGTGTGTAACGTTTCTTGAAAATCGATTCAGATATAGTATAGCTCCCATTTAATGTAAATGGTGCACCAAAGACCCTATATATCTTTCGATTTTACGAAATTTGAAACAGCGTACTAAATTAACTCTACAATGTGTTTGCCAGTTTCGTGAAAATCGATTCAGATTTAGATATAGCTCCCATATATATTTTCGTCCGATTTAAGATAAATGGTGCACCAAAGTCCCTATGTATGTTTCGATTTGCACGAAATTTTGCATAGCGTACTTAATTAAGAGTAGAATGATGTGTGTTAAGTTTTGTGAAAATCGGTTCAGATTTAGATATGGCTCCCATATTTATTTCCGTCCGATTTAATGTAAATGGTGCACCAAAGTCCGAATATATTTTTCGATTTTGCATGAAATTTGACATGGCGTACCCAATTAAGTCTAGAATTATGTGAGATAAGTTTCGAAAAAATGGGTTCAGATATACCTACCATATATATTTTCGTCCGATTTTATGTAAATGGTGCACCAAAGTCACTATATATCTTTCGATTTCCACGAAATTTGGCATAGCGTACTGAATTGAGTCTACAAGGATGTGTGTTAAGTTTCGAGAAAATCGGTTCCAATTTAGATATGGTTCCCAAATATATATTTTCGTTCGATTTTAGGTAAATGGTGTATCAAACTCCTTTTGTTTGTCCGATTGACATGGAATTTTGCACAACGTTTCAAATAGAGACTAGAATGACGTCGGAAAAGTTTGATACGTTTGGCCTAAAACCTCCCGAGCGCAGTCAAACACTGATGCTGATTGACAGCTCGGGTATTGCATCTGCACGTTCCCTTTGTGGACAGCGCAGAGCATATATACCAGCGGGCAACGGTTGTTGTTGCTTTGCTCCCCTTGTACTCTTTCACTGGAATATGTGTATGTGTGTAGTTGTAGGCGTACAAAGATCATTAAAATCCCAATGAACCTTTGCGATCCACGTGAACCTCTGTGTTCACTTGCTTACTAAGCGTCTTGTCGAGCTGACGTCTGTCCTTCGGGCGAACATTGAGATGAAATTGGTCGGATACATACGTACAAAATACCCAAAGTGGGGAAGGGTATCATACAGTCGGCCCAGTCCGACTTTACTACTTTCCTTAATCGTTTTATTTGGTTTTGAATTCATTCCAAATTAATTTTTTCGATTTTTTTGTCTATAATGAATAAGGATGTTTTTCCAAAAAAAAAAAAAAAAAATTAAGATAATATAATTTTTCGTTTCTTATACAACGTGAGCATAGCAAATTGATTCTACTTACCAGAAACCACCTTCGCATTCTATAACGACCTTTGCTTGTGGAAATATAGCTGAACAAAGATAATTTGATGAATTTTAACGTTTATTCGCATATAAATAAATTTTATAACATTTCAAAAATAAAAAACTTTGCAAGGAATATTAAAATAGCTATTATTGGTTATATTATTTACAAAAATACTATCAATTTGGAAATGTAAATAGCACACTATACAGGACTTTGTCCCTGCTTTCTTATAAATTCAGTTAAATCATCCATAAACAATTTTTTCAATCCAATCAAGATATTCCGAGACTCTTGTATAAACGCCTGGTATATTCAATGAACAGCCTTGTCCAAATGACGTTATCCCTACTAAATAGGTTTTCAAATATCCAATACGCATTATTAATGGGCCTCCTGAGTCACCCTAAAATCAGAAAAAGGTTATCATTCAATATTAATATATTAAAATTGTTCGTAAGTAATTTTACCTGACAGGTGTCACTATTTCTAATGGTATCTCTGGCACAAAGTTGAGTATCCCTTATTCCTTGTGACAAAGTTGTATCGTTTTTGTAGTATTCAGTACATTCACCATTTGGCATAATGGATAAATAGGCTTTCAAAAGAGTATCAGATCCTGGACCAGCTGGAAGATAGATTTTGAATATTATTTTTTTTTTTCTAATTTAAACAACAAATCATTGAAAAAAAATTATTGAAAATGTAGTTGAATAGCACGTGCACCTCACACGTGATGTCATAATTCCTATATTTTACTTGATGTGAGTTCCCAAAGACTGTGAAGCAAAGATATATTATGTTGGGGAAAAATAAATCCATTATTTTTGAGGTGCTTCACCGCTCTTTCGCACAGGGTCATCATATGTGATCCATTTCTCATCTACAGTCACCATCCTTTTAAGAAATGGGTCTACCTCATTCCGTTTGACCAATGCTTCGCAGATCGAAATTCGATTCATCTATTTTTTTTTCTATTAATTGGTGTGGCACCCAAAAATCTAACTTCTTTTTGAATCCAGCTTAGTTTAAATGGTTTAAAACAGTTTTATGGTCGATTTTTAGCTCCTGGGTGATGTTACGACTGCTAACATACCGGTTTTATCGTCTACATTTTCGACCAATGACCGGTTTAATGAAATTCGATTCATCAACCTTTTTTTTCATATTAATTGGTGAGGACCTTCAAAAATACTTCTTTTTATCAGCTATATGGCAAAGATTAACTACAAGTATTACCAAAGAATTCTTTTCCATAACCAATAGCTGTAACATTCATTTGTATCGTTTGATATTGGTTCCATAGACATATCCAAGGTGTTGTAGCATTCCTTTCCAATTTCAGCAAAGCTATGTCATTGTAAGGCTGATTATGTTTGTAACTGGGATGTTTGGTTACATTTATGACTTTTATTGGTGTTGCAGAGGACGTATCCGTTAAATTTACTCCTCCTAGCAGAGCTACAGACGGTGGTATTCTGAATTGCAAAAATGAAATAAAAATGTAACGAAACTTACCTGTCTGTCTGTTATTACAGTGATATAAATAATTACCCATTTAAATACACGCAATGTGCCGCAGTCAGTACATAATTTGGGGTTATTAATGCGCCGCCGCATTTGTAATCATAGGTACCTTCCCATACATTTGAATCCCATCCCAAAGCAGCCTGTTTTATTACAATAGAAAATTTGATTATAAATTAAATCACGTTGCAATCAAATCGCATACCATATACGGAAATTCATAATACTTCGTAAACAAACCATGGGAAATTGCAGGGAAATCTCTAATTGTAGCTGGTTTATAATTAACTTCATAACATCCTGAAAGAAAATTGTAATATGTGAACATATTGTGATTGGTCAATATTAGTTCCAAATATGAAAGCGATTCCAGTTGTAATTGGAGAATGTAATTGGTAATTTCACATGTAAAATTCAAAAATTTCATTTGTAATATATATGTTTCCATTTGAAATTCGTAGAGTTTCATTTGAACTTAAAAAAAATTACAATTCAAAGATTTCAAATTGACACTTCACTTGTAATGCGTAATATTTCAGTTGTAATTCACAACAATTCATTTCAAATTGGTGTGTTACCAATAATATTTTTCGAAGTTAAAATGAAATATTATGTATTTCAAATGAAATGTTTTGCATTTCAAATGGAATTATTTGAATTTCAAATGGAATTCTATAAATTTCGAAAGGTATCCTATGAATTATAAATAAAATTCTCGAATTACAACAGTTCACAACTTTCGGCCAAACGAAGCAACTCTTTATCTCTATTTTCTTTCTGTTGCGTTGTTGCCGAATGGAATATTGCGATATGTTCAGCTCACGGCCACCGCGACGCGTGTTTCGATCAAGTCGCTTCTTTACTTTTCGAACCATTTGTGCTGTTTTCTTCCGTCCACTTCCTTGACGTCGGGCTACGCTACCGATATCACGGTAACGAGAGATGGTACGAGACACAAACGATTTATTCATATTTAAATGCTGGAGTGCTCTAACGATAGCCACTTGTGGTTTTCCAGCCAAATATAAAGAAATCACACTATTACGCTTGAATTCTTTTTTCTTTCTGGAAAATTCTCACCAAATCTGAAGTTGGTTGCAGTTTTTTCATCTGACCCTGCATATACCATTTCCAGGGTAATAATGAACTGGAATTCCCGACCCCAAAACATATACCCACCAGCCGTAAACGACAAAAAAACAGTAGACGGTTAGAGAAATTACAGCTGACAATGAAAAAAATAAAATGTTGTCCAGCACAATTTTCATACCCTTCACCACACAGGGAATTAAGCCTTTGTGTATATGTTTGTAACAGGCAAAATGAATCGAGATAGACCAATTTTTGGAGAATATGCATAGAATCACTTTCTGAGTCGATTTATGAATGCCCGGCTGTCCGCCCGACTTTTTTTGTTAGCAAAGTACAGGTCACATTTATGATCCGATTTACATGAAATTTGGCCAAGACGAACCCTATTGAAAATGGAGAAACTCGGTTAAGGTTTAAATATAGCTCTCATGTATAGTTTCGTCCGATTTTATGTAAATGGTACAACAAACTCCCAATGTTTGTCCGATTTCGACAAAATGTTGCTCAGAGTACTGAGTTAGATTCAGATAGATGTATACGAAGCTTTGTTAAAATCGGTTCAGATTTAGATATAGCTCCCCTATCCCATAGTTTCTTTCTATATTATGTTAATGAAATATTACAGGGTATTGAACTCAATTCAATTCAATTTTTTTTTTAATCGGTTTAGGTTAATATACCTTTCATTTATATTTCCATCCTATTTCATATAAATGGTGTACCAAATAACGTACCATCTTGGAGCTAAAATAACGCCTATTGGATATGGTAAAATATAACCCCTATATATTTTCGTCTGATTTCATGCAATTTGTTCATGCAAATAATAAAGGTTACTCGTAGCGAGATAAAATTGTGGAGAACTCACTGTGCTGCAACACAAATGGTAGACGAAATAATCCAAATCTGCCCGATTTATATGGAATTTTTCATAGATATCAGAATGGTATGTCTGCTCTATCTACAGGATATTGTACATATTACCAAATCAAGTATTCACCCAAAGTGATGAAGGGTATATAGTCGACCCTGTCCGTCTTTGAACTTTCCTTACTGTTTTTTTGGAATTGACCCTATCGATGATGTTTTTGGCATGGAGCTCATAAATTTCGACAAACCGTAATCGATGAGGTCCCATCACACAAAATGCAAATGAAAATGTGTTTTTTTTTTTTTTTGTAAAAGTGCATCAACGAAATGTTTATTACATTTTTTATTGAAATATTATTGATTCAATCCAGTCAAGATATTCCGAAACCCTGGTATATACGCCGGGCTTGTCAAAGCCACATCCGCGACCAAATGATGTTATACCAACTACAAATGATTTTTCATATCCCATAGAATTTTGAGAATGTAAAATAAGGGGTCCGCCAGAATCGCCCTAAAAAGAAAATTTTGGCAATATTATATCATAAAACACCAAATAATTTCTAAAATTACCTGGCATGTGTCACTTTGCCTTTCGAAATCTTTGGCACATAATTGACTGTCCACAATGCCTTGAGGCAATGAATCTTCCCCGGTGTATTGTGAAGCGCAATCTTTGTTTGGCACTATTGTTAGATGGGCTTTTAAAAGACTTTCAGAATTTGTACCGGCTAAGGAAGATTTAGATTATCATAACATTTGGATTGAGATTATCATAACATATTGTGGGTTTAAATATAATTACCAAACTGAGTGTGGCCATAACCAACAGCCGTTACATTGAGATCGTCCATTGCGTACAGAGTCCATATACAAAGTGGATCTTCGCCTGGACTACTTTCCAGTTTTATCAAAGCAATGTCGTGATAGGACATTTTCGGGTTATACATTGGATATTTGATGACTTTGGCAACTTTTATGGGTTTGTTTTTTGTATCTGTTAAATTGGTACCACCCACAAGAACGACACTTGGTGGCAATCTGTGTAAAATTTAAGAAGAAAGAAATGTTATCAACTTCTCAAATAAGTTTAGAATTTTGTCAACATACCCATTTAGTATAGCACAGTGTGCTGCGGTTAGGACATAATTATCCCATACCAAAACTCCACCGCATTTATAATCATAACTGCCCTCCTCAAACATTGAATCCCAACCTAAAGCTGCCTTTATAAAATCAAATTATTAATTTGAATGTATGGAATATTTCAGTGACAAACCATATATGGAAATTCCCGATAAACAGTTTGAAGGCCGTGCACAATTTCATAACGTGGATCTACACAATCTGTAAGGATTTGGAAAAAAAAATACTTAATAAAAACAAAAATAAATATTTTTTCAATAATCGTGAAAACAATATAGGAAAAGTGGTTGAGGTCGTAAAACGCTTTTGAGATGCACGTCTAATAATAAAATACAACGTTTTTACACCAGGTTTCGGCAATCCCGTTAGTCGCAGCAGTAAAAAAGGCAGTAAGGGAAGTAGTAAAGTCGGACAGGACCGTCTATATGATACCCTTCACAGCTTAACTTAGACCTATCCATAAACATGTCATTCTGAAACTTAAGGGAAACCCCCCCATTCACGATTTTAATTTTTCAAGATTTTCAATGGGCTGGTAAATCAATACCAATGTTTGTTAAGGTTTGTAACTTTGCACATATATATTTGAAGATTTAAAAGAGAAGATAAATAATTTACAAAAAATTTTTGTTATTGTTCTGTTGTTGTTTTTTGTAATTAAAGAAAAGTCCTTATTTTTGATGGCGGGCATGATAATTCCTCACTGGAACATCGGAATCCGAAAATTTCAAAATGGCGGACCTTTGAAAAAATATTTTTGGAAAATCGCCGATTTTTTACCAAAAACCAAGTTAAAACATAAGGAAGATCTTCACTGATTGGCTTTATCCTAGTTCATACGATAGCTACACACTCACAGAGAAACGTGTAAAAATTTGGAATCGATTGCATTATTAGTCTTTGAGTTATCGTGCCCGCCATTCGCAAAACCAATGTTTAGAGAAAAACGCGTTTAAAGTTTGAGAAGCCATTCAGCCGTCACTTGATGCTGACACAATAAATCGGCTATATCTTCAAGAGTTCTTGAGATTTTAACTTGAAATTTTGTAGGGACATTCTTGAATTAGTGTAGATTCGAATTAAGTCAACAAAAATTTAGACCCCAAGAATGGGGGGTCCCCTTAAACCAAAATTTTCATTTCGACAGATATTGAGTCGTTTGTTTAGAATAGGACAAAATAATAAATCAAATCTCAATCGGACACCCGTTGATTATTTGGAGCCCTTTTAACATGAAGTCGATCGAAACCATATACATGCTCTATGTCTGCATTTCTACAAAACGCAATTAACTCATTCTAAGCTCAATGTTATACTTCGTGCAAAATTTCGTGTCAATTTTAAAAACGTGAGGAGTTTGGTTCACCATTCACTTAAAATCGGACGAAACTATAAATGGGAGCTATATCTAAATCTGAACTTCGGTACATTGTACAAAATTGTGTGCCAATTGGACAAACTTTGTATCTTTAGTGCACAATGTGGGATCTATATCTATATCTGAACCGATTTTCACGGGATTGGTGCTCCATTAACCTAAAATCGGACGAAAATATATATGAGAACTATATCTAAATCTGAACCGATTTTCACAAAACTTTGTACGCATCATTCTAGACTTAATTCAATACGCTATGCCATATTTCGTGTAAATCGAAGGAAATATAGGGGATTGGTACACCACTTACATTAAATCGGACTAAAATATATATGGGAGCTATATCTAAATCGGAACCGATTTTTAACGAAACTTAACACAGAATTCAATACGCTGTGCGAAATTTCATGCAAATCGAATGATAAAAAGGGACTTTGGTGCACAATTTATATTAAATCGGAAGGAACTATATATGGGAGTTATGTCTAAATCTGATCTGATTTTCACGAAACTTAACACATATCATTCTATACTTATTTCAGTATGCCAATTTTCGTGCAAATCGAAAGATACATAAGGACATTGTTTCACCATTTACATAAAATCGGACGAAACTATATATGGGAGCCATATCTAATTCTTAGTCGATTTTCACGAAACTTAACATACATGATTCTATACCTAATTCATTACGCTGTGCCAAATTTCGTACAAATAGAAGGATATATAGGGACTGTGGTGCACCATTTACATAAAATCGGACGAACCTATATATGGGTGCCATATCTAATTCTTAACCAATTTGCACGAAACTTAACACACAACATTCTAGACTTATTTCAGTACGCTGTGCCGAATTTCGTGCAAATCGGAAGATATATAGGGACTTTGATGCGCCATTTACAATAAATCGGACGAAACTATATATGGGAGCTATAACTAAATCTGAACAGATTTCTCCAATTTCAAATGGGTTCGTCCTTGGGTCAAATTTCAACCAAATCGGATTATAAATGCGACCTGTACTTTGTTTACAATTTAACATGGCAGACAGACGGGCGGTCGGACTGACATTCATTAATCGACTCAGAATGTGATTCTATGCATATTCTCAAAAGGAACCATGTGTCTTTTTCGTTTCCTTTTGCCTGTTACAAACATATATACAAAGACATAATACCCTGAACCACAGTGTGGTATAAAAAAGATTTTAAAGTTGTACATTTCTTTTCTTTAAAATTTTCTTAAAATGCAAACATACAAAAGTGAGTGCATACGAGTAAATTCCGTGTTTCCTTGGTGCTTATTGGTTATTCTGTTACAATACCCCAATCCGGATTATAAATGTTTCCGTAAAATAAAACGAGTCTAATCTGTTCTCGATTAAATGTTTATCATAAATATTTAATAAAATATTTGCAACCTACAATAAATTTGAAAACAAACAAAATTAATTAACTTAATTACCATTTCGGAATAATTGTACCATATCAAGTTTTTAAAAGCCCAGTATAGAAAATTCAAAAGTAGGACGGCTCCGACTATATGACACCCTTCACCACTTTTGTTACATACAAGATATGCTTCTAATTTTAAATATGTGACCTATATAGATCCATATAGAGCGAAATAATATACGCTGGTGGCCAACAAATAAACATATAGTGTTGTTTTTTTCAGTTTAAGATCGGTTACTTTATTCACTTTTAAAAAAAACATAAAAAAATTCATTTTGGAGTAAATAAAATAATATTTTGAATAAATACATTTTGAAAAAGCAAATTTTCTCAATTTTTGCTTGGACTAAAATTATAGCAACTTTATTGTACAAACAGAAGAGCTCTGAAATTTTAATTATTTTTACCGTTACAATTACTATGTTCTGGTTTCTACACAATAAAATGTGTCTGTTTTCAATTTTGACTTACTTGCAAAAAACAGTAAGGAAAGTAGTAAAGTCGGACTGGGTCGACTATATCATAACTATTAATTTAACACACATCATTCTAGACTCAATTCAGTACGCTATGCCAAACTTCAAAATATATAGGGGCTTTGCTGCACCATTTACATAAAATCGAACGAAAATATGTATGGGGGCTATATCGAAATCTGAACCGCTTTTCCCGAAACTTACCACTCATCATTCTAGACTTATTTCAGTACGGTATGTAAAATTTCGTGCAAGTGGATGGATATATAGGGGCTTTGGTGCACTATTTACCTAAAAATTAAAACGAAAATATATATGGAGGCTATTTTGAAATCTAAACCGACTTTTACGAAACTTAGCACATCACTCTAGACTTAAGGACATTATTCATGTTCGCCCATCTGTCTGTCCATATTAAATTGTAAACAAAGTACAGGTCGCATTTTTGATTCGAACTGAAGTTATTAAAAATTAATGTTTGGCAAGTTTCTTCGAAATCGGTTCAGAAAGTATATATAGCATCCACATATATATTTTCGTGCGATTTTAAGTAAATGTTGCACCTAACTCCTAAGGTTTGTCCGATTGACACGAAATTTGGACAATTTGAGACTAGAATGACGTTATTGTTTTTTTTTTTTTTTTGGAAACTGGTGCATATGCAGACATTACTTCCATATATAGGGGAGACTGGGGCACCTTCGGCAATCGGGTTTTCGATATGAAGCTCTCACCGTACATCACTAGTTTCGATACATAGGTATCGTATATCGAAATAAATATCTGACACAAAGTTTGAAATTTCTACCTAATAAACTTATTTAGATATATGCGTTTTTGTATTTTTATAGATGTTTCTGTAATATTTCAATTCCATTTCGTAAGTATTTCGTGTATAAAACTTGTTAAATATTTATACAATATTATTAAAAAGTGGTTAACTACGATGTGTATTATTATAGAAATATTTAAAAATATAATGTTTTTACAAAACTGATCCAAAAAATGAAAAAAAACTATAAAAAGTACATTCGGGGTACATTCGGCATTTTAAAGTGGGGCACATTCGGCCATATACAGATTGTGCAATATTATTTGCTTAAAATATTTTTGAGTTTGTCTTTAAAACTAATCCTTTAATGTGGCTCGAAATTGCATATATAAGATCAAACGTACTTGTATTGACGAAAATGCCATAGAAACCCCCTATTTCTGATGGTGTGTGCGACCTTGAGATGTAAACGTCCGCCGCTACAAAATAAGGTCCTATAATTCAAACATTGTGTGACGTATTAAACCCGAATAGAGCCTTTAGAGGATCAGAATTTAAACCAGACTGATAGCGATGACAATTACCCGGCAATGACTATGGTGCCGAATGTGCCCCATCAAATGCCGAAGCTACCCCGGGTTGGGGCACATTCGGCGAATTTGACTTTTTTTACAAAAATGTAAAATTTTTTAACTAATACTAGTTTTTTATATCTTTTTGGTACTATTTTTTAAGATTAAGTGTCCGAAGACAATAATCAGCCATAAAGTTGTTATATATGTTGAATAAGTACTGAGATATAGAGCTCTAAAAAAAGTGCCGAAGGTGCCCCAGTCTCCCCTATTTCGAACGGGTGTCTCTAAATCTACCCGAATGAAATTAAACTTAGCATAGGTTGCAGAAAGGCATGTGTATGGGTTGATGTTAGTTGGTTCACTTATAGATACATTTAACATATTTCGTTCAATTTCATGTCAATATACATATGTAGAATATACCCAAAGTGGAGAATGGTATCATATAGTCGGCCCAGTCTGACTTTACCACTTTCCTTTCTGGTTTGCAACTAGATCAGTAGTGACAGTTCATCACGGAGGAAGTCTGTAAGAGAACATCAGTTCGTATCAATCAACAAATTGTCAGAAAAATGAAAAACACCCTTTTAGGAGTTCAACGGATTTGCCGAGAGGATAATCGTTGGATACAACCTCAGGAACAGAGCCTAGACGAGCTGTGGTAACAGGTCTACATAAAAAAAATTTCATTTACTTCCTGAATAGAATTGGAAAAATTATTTTTTGGTTTGGCAAACGCTCATTTCAATTGGAATCCGAATCAATGGTGAAATATTTTGCTTTCGGATGAATTGAAGTTTAATATTTAAGGATCAGACGCGAAAAAAATTGCGGTGAGATGGCCTAAAAATGGAAGACTCAGGCCTCAGTATTGTAATGGTATTGGGAAGCATTGGTCAATAATGACATTGAGCTGTTTTTCTTTTTAGGGTGTTTGATCTATTTACAACCTTTATGAAATAATCTATTGGATTGTTTATACAATTGAGCTGGAAAACGCAATGGCTCCCTTCGCTGAAGAAAATATACCGCTTGTTTGGGTGTTCCAGCATGACAATAACCGCAAATATACTCCAAATATGTCAAAGATTGGTTGCGTGAGTCAGGGTTTTTATAATGGCCAGCACAATCATCAGATTTCCACCCTATAGAAATATATTTGTAGTATTATAAAGAGCAAAATAAAAAATGAGTTTCACAAACATACAGACATAACCTCTTCTCAAAGGATACGCGGAATAGTATTAAATTGACTATTTTATTGATTCAGTGCCTTAGGGCAGCACCCTAATCAAAAATAACGATTCTTGAGTTTCGACCAAGCAAATGTGGGCCAATTTAGTTATCCATAGAATATTTTTTTCTTTTCGTTTATAATTTTTGTTTCTTAAAAGCGAATAAATTATCTATTTATTTCTGAAAAAATTAACTAGAACTTTATTTTCAATTCAGTTTGCAATTTCAGTTGTTTAGTTTTGGCCACCACCACTATAGGAGCTATAACTTAATCTGAACCGATTTCAACGAAACTTGCCACACGTTAGGCTATACTAACTTCAGTACGTTGTGCGAAATTTTGTGCCGATCGGCTTAACTTTGGGTCTTTAGTGAAATATTTAATTAAAATCGGACGAAAATATTTAAGGAGCTATATATAAATATGAACCGATTTTAACAAAACTTGACACACGTGCTTACATCATAACATTTTGAAAAATTATGTGCTAATCGAGAAAACATTAACTGTCCGATGCACCATTTACTTAAAATCGGACGAAAATATATATCGGATGTATATCTAAATCTAAATCGATTTCAATAAAAATTTCCCATACTTCAATTTGTACGTAATTCAGAATGTTTTGAAAACAAACATATGCACAATGACATAATACCCTGTACCACCGTTTGATGAATGGTATAATCACACAAAACAGTAAATACCAATAGGAAAAACGGAAAGTGGAAAGTTGTTAATGAAATTAAAATTAATGCACAATATTAACTTTCTATTTTAATTCCTCTATGAATATCTACATACTCTTGCATTTGCATTGTTATTAAAATTTATGACATCAGTAAATTCTGAATTTGGGGGTAATATGGATTTGAGCCATGGCCAATTTTGTATGTGGTGTGTTTTACATCAAGTATTCAAGTTTTAATTTAAACGTTTAGAACTTGACACTTCAATTAACATGTCATTGCCTTCTTACAGTTTTCATTTACATACAATATTAATTGGCACAATTTATCATCTACATTATTACTTACCTCTAGTGATTGGTCGACGCTTCATATCCTCCCACAAGTCATTCTTGCAACAAACAAACTGTTCGTCTTTCTCCATGTAGCACAATGTAACATTTTTAGCCGTTAATGCTGCCGGACAATATTGTAAACTCATACATGTGCCGCTAGTTTTGTCAGGAAAAGTACATTCCGTTGGAAATGGATCAACCGTGGGAAATTTAATGCCATAGGTAGAAACTACAAACAGATTGGATTTCAATAAAAATCAATACTAGAATTTTTTTACAACTCACCGTATTGAAAACACAAAAAGAAAAACAAATTTATTTGAATAATCAGCATTTTTATAGAGGGGATTTTTTTGTCTGTTTGTCAATGAACCGGCAGATCGATGCTATCTTTTTCGTGGTTCGTCTCAGAATGTTTATTGTTGACTCACTTAGACAAGTGTATTCAATGGAGTCGTAAACTGAACTGATAATTGTTTTGGTTGCATTGACACGTTTTGAACGAAGCATAGCCTAAACGGAGATAGATGAAATTGTGGAATAATAAAAACAAAACAAATTAAATGATTTTTTTTATTAAAGATGATATTTTTTTGTATTAAATAAAGCTTAAGATTAGTATCAATGGGTTGATGTCAGTGCTAAAAGGGAAGTTCACATATCAAAACAATTGAAATCGTTTAAATACATAGGGTTGCCATTGCAGGAATACTAAAATCACTAACTTAATAAAACAAATTTTATATATATTTCATCTCAGGCCTTAATATTTTGTCAGTATTTTCAAAGCAATTTGGTATTTTGAATTGTCATTGTGTTTAAAATCTCACAACCAAATTTTCTAAATATTTGTTAATATTTTAGAATTGTGCCTCTATAACAGTACCATCCCATATATAGTTACTAAATTTGGTCCACTTTAATGTCTATGAAGTTTTGTGAAAATCGGTTCAGATTTAAATATAGCTCCCATATATAGTTTCAACCGATTTTATCTAAATGGTGCACCAAATTCCCAAGGATTGTTTAAATGAGACAAACATTTTCGTCCGATTTTATGTAAATGGTGCACCAAACTCCCAAGGACTGTCTGATGCAGACAAAATTTGGCACAGCGTACTAAAATAAGTCCGTATGGATGAGTGCGAAGTTTGGTGGAAATCGGTTCTGATTTAGATATAGCTCCCATATACAGTTTCGTCCGATTTCAGTTAAAGGATGCACCATACTTGCAATATTTGTCCGATTGACAGTGTATTGAGTTAGGCCCAGATAGACGTATGCGAATTATTGTTGAAATCGGTTCAGATTTAGATAAAGCTGTCAAATATATTTTCGTTTCGATTTTATTTTAAAGAAAAGCCTATGTTTATTCGATTTACACGAACTTATATGGAATTTTTCATAGATTTCAGAATGGTATGTGTATGGGGTTTTTAATAGGCTCAAATATTTATATAGATCCTCTAAAGATGTTATGTCTGTTCTATCTACAGGATATTGTATGTATCTATTGCATCTATAGTATGTACCATATTTTATTTACATTTGCAGTAAATATTTTGAATTGAAAACGAATATAAACGTGTTAAGATCGGTCGGATTAGTAGAAGAATTGCAAAACTCACCATAATATCAAAAACTGAGATGAACCGTAATATTGGGAGCTACCTTAAAAAGTGGATGTAGGAGGTATATCTAAGTTTGAATTAATTTTGACAAATATTGAAATCCTTAATATGAAATTACTGCCAATTCGGCTATAAAAAGTACTCGCATTATCTAATAATGGGAGGTACATGTTAAAGAGGGGCTATCCCAAAACTTGGAAAACTATTGATAAGAATCACAATTATAACAGCTTCTTTAATTAAAGCGATAAGGAACGATGGAAAGCCGGATGGGGATATGATTCACTTCACCACTTTGGGTGTAAAGGTGAGAAATTAATTCCAATTCTGATTTTATTGTAATTTAAGAACTACGTACTGCTAACCAAACCCAATCTTATACCCATAATAGCTATCAGTTCTCACAGTGCACATATGGGACAAATGAGCACACCAATATCATATATTCAAAATATTTCTGTTAATTCTTTACTATCAGCTCACACATAGATATCGTGACTGCATTAATCACTTATCATAAAACAATTTGAACATCATTTATGAAATGCATAAATGAGAAGTTATCTTAAAATAAAATGAATGATGCCGAGCATTTTCATATTTTTATGAACATTCTCCCAGCCGGCAAAGATTACACTTGATATGATGTGCCCGTGGGAACCGATTGCTGATATAAAAATGTTTCTTAATGCATACAGTTCTTCCTATGAATATAATATTAGACATTGAACATTATTGATGTTTTAAGTAAAATCCTATTTTAATTGAAGATTTAATTTCTTAAACTTGGACTGTATAATTGGCAATAGCTGGTCCTTTAGTCGCTGTGACTTGTCTATATATCGGCAGGTATCGGTTTGCTGTCTTCATCTTCACTTTCTTCAAGCTGCAATTTCTGTTGTTATAGATACCTGGTGGGGTGTGTTGCAATAGAGTCCTTCTCTCTATATCATTTAATATTTGTTTCAATGTTTTTTTATATTTTAGAGATCCATCTCCAGCTGGTGGTTGTGGGTTAATCAGTTGCTTACGTGGTGGTAAATCTGCTACTTTTCGATCAGCTACTTTTTACAATTACACTGCCGCTTATTATGTCGCCTCTAGCTGGTATTTGATGACTTTGTTGGATTCCAGGACGATGAAGGGTTTAATATACAGCTACATGATCGGTAGTTCCCCCAGGAAAATGTGAAATATTCTATAATGCCGGAATTGCTTAAGCCGCATACATGCTGCTGGTGGTTGACTGATGTTCTGGTGGTTGTTGATAATGATGTACCACCTCTGGCGTTGTAGTAGCATCCTCTTGTTCTTGCTGCTGCTGGGACAAAAAAAAAAAAATATTGCCATTGCCCTCGTTTCCTTATGGACCATTGTTCCTCTTCAAAGCTGCCCCCTCGAAGGGCAGTTCTGAACATAACGACTTGGTCCAGTAAAAAAGAAATACATTATTTAAATCGAACTTAAAGTATGCAATATGTACATTTAGTGTAAAGGTTACATTTTCACCTATTAGTTAAAATTTATAAAAACGCCAAAAATTATAAAAAAAATAATTATGAGCCTTGAAAGGAAAAAGTGTTCAAAGGTGCCCACTCCCCTATTATTGTCGTCATTAAATTTTTCTTTCTGCTTCTTTCCATATTCCCCCAATGTGAGAAACTGCCGACCGTATGAAGTACTCGTTACTCTTTTGCCATTCGAGTTCATATTGTCGTCATTAAATTTTTCTTTCTGCTTCTTCCCATATTCCCCCAAAGTGAGAAGCTGCCGACCGTATGAAGTACTCGTTACTCTTTTTCCATTCGAGTTCATCCGTTATAAGGCCTTCAATCGATTTTTCGTATGGTTCTGCTTCCTCCGATGACGCATAATTCACCGAAGACTGCGATCTCCGTTATTGTTCTTGGTATGTTACGATCCTGCATTTGCATAAACTGCTGCAGCTTTTGCAATTGACCTACTTGCTTCTGATGAGCCAGAAGTTTCAGCGGCACTGTTCCTATTGTATTTTTTTACAATTTTTTAGATATTACTTTAGAAATCGGCCTTTTGGCTGCTTCTTTTTTTGTTTATTCTGCCTACTTGGATTTTTATACCGTAAAATGTCATGTTCGTCTGTCTCTTGTAATCACTAACTAATTGAGATAGATCGCCAAAATTTTGCATAGAGTCTGTTGTCTGTTTTGGCAGGCTAAGTTCGAAGATGGGATATATCGGTCCACGTTTAGGCATAGCTCCCATATAAGGGTACCGCCCAATTTTCGGTATTTTGGGGTTCTTGAGCGCATTTTTCAGATGAATTCGCTGAAATTGGATACATTGGTTTCTTATTGGGTACCAAATTTCGCCCATCAAAAATTATAAATAGCCCCTATATAACGGTACCCCCACTTTTCAGTATTGTGGGGGTTTTGAGTGTATTTTTCAATGATTTCGCTGTAATTTAGTACTTTGAGTTCTTATGGGGTAGTAAATTTATCCACAAAAAATTATAGATACAGGTCAATTTTTTCGGTTAGGTAAACCCCAATTTTCGAAAGTTTGGAGTTATTGAGCCCGTTTTTCAACCGAATATATATTATATGGTAACAAATCTTCCTACCAAAAATTATTAATATTCGCCCCCTTTTATGGATAGTCCATAATAACCCCTATTGAAATAGTTATCTGATTTGTTCCGTGTGTTGGGGTTGTCCCCATAAAGGCCCATTCTACCATATCCAGACAAGCTAGCTTCCCCAAATTTGGAGTGTAGAATTCTAATGTAAGAAAAAGTGAAATATGAAAAATGGGCGGGCCACGCCCCCCGCATGTTGGGTATTTTGGCAATGTTGGTTTCGTTTTTCAACGGAATTGGCTGAAATTTGGTATTTTGGGTACTCGGTGTATAGAAAATCTCCCTACCAAAAATTATGAATATTGGACTAGTTCTTCGGGTAACCCCCATATAACGGTATATCCCATTATTCGAAAATTTTGAGATTTTGCACACGTTTCTTTAACAAATTGGCTGTATTTATGTATTTTAGGTTCTTATTGGGTAGCAAATCTTCCTACTAAAAACTATCGATATTGGTAAACTTGTTAAAGTAGTCCCCATATAACGGTACCTCCGAAATTTCTGTATTAAAAGGAATTTGGGTACTTTTTTCAACCATGTTGGATATAACTTTATATTTTGGATTCCCATTTCTTGGAATGACTGAAGTCACAAGTAGGGACGGATAGAAACTATCTGAAGAATTAAAAAATATTTGTTTAACAAAACTGTGGCCGATTTAACCATTAGACACGTATCTCAAAACTAGGACCGATTCTTCAGCATCCATTGTATTGTGTACATTTCTATATTTATTCTCACTTCTGTGAAGTATATTCCATTTTAGTTAGATAATTAGATAAATTCCAAGCTTAGTTAATATTAATTTTCTTAATTTACTGTCAATTTCGTATGGAATATTTTTTATGTAATTTTTGATCCTGAGTTCTGAGTTCTGCAAAAATATTAATAATTCTTTTATTAGCAGACAATTTTAGTATGACATAAAACTAGGGTTTTCTACAAACAATCACATATAAATAGCTCCTGTAACACTTTGTTACAACTTTAGTTTTACTCCACGGAAAACGATAAAACTATTCAAAATTTCACCAAAAAATACACACATAAAATACCAACATTTGTCCGAAGTACAAACATTAAGCTAATTATATTTTTATATAGTAAAAATACCCTACTCGAGTATTAGAATTCATGTTTATCAAAAAAATGACTTTTTGTCGCCAAAATGGCGATTTCAGCCATAGTGCATTGTATGGGGGATATTAGTTACTCGAAATTGTCAGTATTTAATGTATGGAATTCTAAGACGATTTAGCCATCTGTTGTAATCATTCCGCCTTCTAAGGATATAGTGATGAAAAACTAGAACCTGACGATGTTGAAATATATCGGCCAGCATTCGTTAATCCCTACCTAGGATTTTATACACATGTTCCACACTAGCATGCGTTATTAATATCACGTTTTGGGGTTTTCAGATTTTAGGAACAATATGTACATAATGGTCTACATAAATCGGTTCGTGGAGTTGTCGGTATAGATCCACTTTTTCGTATTTTCCATATACTTACATTTCAAGTACCTTTAAGTGTACCTATGGATTAACTTAACTTAATGATTTTTTTCACCTGTTTTAAATCCTTCACCACACTGTGGTACAGGGTATTATGTCTGTGTGCATATGTTTGTAACAAGCATGGCGCAACACTAAAAAGTGGAACCATAATTTTGGTCAGAAGATTTAAATATACAATTGCAGGCAGTTCTGTTGAAAAACATTTCCATTAATACATCGCTAAATCGACATGAAATTTAATTCTTCTACAGAATAACCGATTGTAATTCGTTCGAATATATTCAATTCAAACTGTACAGAAATATGCTGTCAATATACTTTATGGCGTCTCCATTGAATATTTTGAAGAGTTGCTAACGAAATAACATGTTTGCCTGCGTGTAAACATCGCAATATTTAAGATCGAGTTTTGAAATATAAATATAAAGGTGCCGACCCATTTGCCATATTTTCAGGAATTTAGCCCAGAAGCTTTGGAACACCGAAATCGCTGTAATTTCATATACCGGCGACTGATTGGCTGGAAAATGTACAATAATTTAAGTATTACACTGTTCACATATAAATGTCCCCCTCCTTTTCGTATTTCAAAACATTTTCGGGGCTTTAATGTGCCATTCAGGATCAAGTAGACAATATCTTTGCTAAAAAATTTTCATGATTTGCCGTAAACCTTATTTTGAAGGATTTGGATGTATTTTGCAACCTGTGTGTTTCAACAAACTAAAAATTTATAATTGAATTCACACCATATTAAAGGGTGTATAAAGGGTGTGTTCGATCCGGCTGATACTAACGTCGTTTTTGCTCGTTGGTATTTAAAATGCGCTATAGAGTATAAGAAAATTCTTACAAATTTGTCGCCAGTTTCGCTTTTTTGAGATATTAGTATACAAGGAGGAAATCGCTTGTATGGTAAATCTGCTTGCCAAATTTGCTCAGTACCGGTCCACTTGTTACTTCATTTGTTCCTCGTGTTTTCTTGCAGATTTTGTGAAAGACGTTATCTTTGTACGTTTCCAGAAGGATTTGATCTTCAAATAATTTTTTTCACAACGTTTGGACTTCATACTAAAATAACATTATTTTATATAACAATTATTAAAATAACAGAAAGTTTTATTAGTATTATGTTTGAAATATAATTGATTCAATCCAGTCAATATATTCCGAAACTCTAGTATATACGCCTGGCGCCTTGCCAAAGCCACACTCATCACCAAATGCTGTTATGCCAACTACAAATGCTCTTTCATATCCCATATAATTTTTAGAACGCAAAATAAGGGGTCCGCCAGAATCGGCCTAAAAAGAACATTTTGAGAAGAATATATTTTAAAACACTTAATAATTCATTAATTATTTACCTGGCATGTATCACTTCGCCTTACGAAGTCTTTAGCACACAATTGACTGTCCAAAATGCCTAGAGGTAAAGATTCATCCCCCATGTATTGGGTAGTGCAATCTTTATTTGGCACTATTGTTAGATGAGTCTTTAAAAGACTTTCAGAAGGTGGACCGCCTATGGGAGAACGAATTTTAGAAAATTATCATAACATTATGTTAGTTTAAGTATAATTACCAAACATAATATGACCATAACCAACAGTTGTGACATTAAGATCGTCCATTTCGTACAGAGTCCATATACAGAGGCGATTTTCGATTGCACTTTTTTTCAGTTTTATCAAAGCAATATCGTGATATGGCAGTTTCGGGTTATAAATTGGATGTTGGATGACTTGGGCAACTTTTATGGGTTTGTTTTTGGAATCTGTCAAATTTGTACCGCCCACAAGCACTACACTTGGTGGTATTCTGAAAATATTTAGGAAGAAAAAAATTGTACAAGCTTGTCAAATATATTTCGAATTTTGTCGGCTTACCCAGTGAGTATAGCACAATGCGCAGCTGTCAGAACATAGTTATCCCATACTAAAACTCCACCGCATTTATAATCATAACTTCCCTCCGCAAACGCTGAATCCCAACCTAATGCTGCCTTTATAATAACGAATTATTAATGTGCATGTTCGAAATTTTTAAGTGACAAACCATATATGGAAATTCCCGATAAACAGTTTGAAAACCATTAAAAATTTCATACTGTGGATGTGTACAATCTGCAAGAGTTGGAATAAATAAAATATACTTAAATAAAACTAAGCTATTTCTGTAATAATCGAAACCGTAAATAATCGGAAACTATAAAAAAAAACTAGTGAAAAAACGTAATACTGACAGGTACTTGGTACATAGAAATACTGAGAGGTACTTGAAATGAAAATATAGGGAACATACCAAAAAGTGGACATATACCGACATATCTACAAGCCGATTTTGTAAACCATAATGTACACCAAATACAAATTTCAGTACTTTTTAATGAGAGTGTAAACACTTAGATGTGGAACTTGAGAACTACAGCTTCGAGGTAGTTAAAGACTTTATACACATTGGTACCGCCATAAATAAAACGAATGACATCAGTTTTGAAATTCGGAGAAGGATTGTGATGGCCAACAGATGCTACTATGGTCTAAGTAAGCAGTTTAGAAACAAGGCCACCTCCCGCCAGACCAAACACACACTTTACAAGACACTGATACTACCCATGCTATTATATGGATCAGAAGCATAGGTACTTGCGCAAGCAGATGAGGCAGCTCTTGGGGTGTTTGAGAGAAAAATTCTCCGAAAGATCTACGGGCCGATCTGCGTCGACGGTGAATATCGGCGTCGAATGAACCACGAGCTTTACAATTTACACGCGGACATCGACATAGTCAGTCGTATTGAGCTGCAGCGACTACGGTGGCTAGGCCATGTGCGGATGAATGAAAATGCCCCAGCTCAAAAGGCTTGGAAATCTTTTTTAAGCTCGGCTTATGGAACAACCGTTCTGTTACAAGCCAGCTAAGTAAGTAAGTTGTATACACTTAGATACGGTGAAATAGTGATTCTAGACCCCATGTTTCTTTGGACCAAATTAGTCCTAGAAAATATAGATTTCATCTAAACTTTGCACTTCTTATTATTTCTTCAAACAGAGTTTGGGTCAAAATTTTCAATATTTATACATCCAATATCAAGCGAATGGAATGTCTGTTTTGAACTAATATTTGCACAACCTATTATCTTTAAGAAGTCTAGATCGAGTCCGAAGTTGGAACCCATCTGTCCTCTCTCTAGTAGCTCTATATATATATATATATATATATGGGCACTTCCGCAGTCACTTACACGACTTTCAGAGGCAAAATCAAATTTTAAAAATATTTTGAACTTTTTATATTCTTTACACGAATAAGAGATATCAAGCATTATAATTGCACTTTCAAAATTTCAAAAAGTGGCATATCCTTTATTTGCGAAGGCTTTTTCTCGGTCACTCACGCGACATTGATGATTTTGCAGTTTTTATTTCTGCAGTCTCTGCATTTATAGTCTTTAAATTAGTATTTATGATAAGAACAAGAAGAAAAAATGACAAATGTGGTCTTTCTTTGTATTTGTTGCCTTTACTTTACGAATTTAAGCACAAATAAAGAAACAAATTCTTCGATTTTGGTTTAACTTTTTGCGGAAGTGCCCATATATATATATATATATATATATATATGTATATATATATATTTATATGGTGAGGATATATATCTGTCGGCAACGGTGATGACTGACACTTTTTTACTTGACCGATATTGCCAACGCATTGAAGGGTGGAACATCCCCAATATACTGCAATTTAGAGGACAGAGTTATATGAGGCCATCACCAACGTACCCAGTTTTTTCCCGAAGTTGGTTGGAAGCTGCTGTTTCAATATGAAAATTGATATTGCAGAAAAAAAGTTGTATGTGTAGGTCCCTGAAGGCTATAACCTAAGCGGGACCAATGTTGATTACATCGTGTAGGAATTACCAAACATTTGTAGTTATATTTCGAAACTAACATTTTTGCATCAGAATACATCAGAATACAATATAAAAACTGCCGAAAATCGGTAGGTATCATCATTATGGGGTCTAGGCTTAAATGCGAACCTTACGTTCTAGTTTTTTTATCTGGATATCCTCCGCAGGTGAAATGATAACAACAGAGTATTAGAACCAGACCAAAATGCGGAACAAATCAGATAACTAGTTTCATATAAAAAGGAGGTTATATGGGGACTACCCCCAATGAGGGGGCGAATATTAATAATTTTTGGTATGGAGTTTTGTTACCATATACGACTACAAATACCAAATTACAGCGATATCGGTTTAAAAACGCGCTAAAGAAATCCAAAATATCGAAATTTGGGGGCTATCGGAAAAAATTGATCTATATTCATAATTTTTTATGGAGAGATCTGGTACCTATTAAGAACTCAAAATACTAAATTGCAGCCAATTCGGTGGAAAAATACGATCAAAACCCCATAAAATACTGCAAATTAGGGCGTACCGTTATATGGGGTCTACCAGAAAAAGTGGACATAAATTAATAATTTTTTGTGGAGAAATTTAGTACCCAATAAGAAACCAATGTAGCAAATTTCAGCGACGCGCTAAAGAACTCCAAAATACCAAAATTCGTGGGTACCCTTATATGGGACCTATGCCTAAAAGAGACGAAAGACGACTTTATTTTGGCGATCTATCTCAATTCGTTTAGAGGCTAGAGTGATTACAACAGACAGACGGACAAAGTTAAATCGGCATAAAATTTCACGCTGATCAAGTATCTATATACATTATAGGGTCGGAAATGATTATTTTCATACAATGGTGGATGGTATAAAAAATGCGGCAAATATCCCAAAAAATTCCAAGAAATTGGAAATTTTTCATATAATTTCGATAGCTTCATAAATTCCTGCTGTTGTGGTTGACGTCGACGTTTTCTTTAACTTTGCTGGCCTTTATCGGTATATGTTAACCGAATTGGCTGCAATTTGATATTTTGCGTTCTTAGTGATCCACTTTTTATGTTAGCTGCATTATAACAGTACCTCCCAAATTCCGGAGTTTGTTAGCATGTGAATTTTTTCAATCCCAAATTGCAGTTTTTATTATGCATACTAACTGAAAGATAATCTTCCTAACAACACAAGAAAACCAGTAAGGAAAGTAGTAAAGTCGGACTGGGCCGACTATATGATACCCTTCACCACTTTGGGTATATTCTTCATATGTATCCGAAAAGACGTTGCCTTTTTGAAGGAATTTTGACATGAAACTGAACGAACTTAAATATGTGATGTTCATGTCTTTCTGTGTTTCGGCCTAGCTGTGGATCTTTAGTGCACAATTTACTTAAAATCGGTCGAATATATATATATATATATAGGAAATGTAAACATCATTCTAGACTTAAGTCAATTTGCAAATCCATTGATTTTCAGAGACTTTGGTGCACCATTTACCTAAAATCGGACGAAACTATGTATGGAAGCTATATCTAAATCTGAACCGATTTTCACGAAACTTAGCACACATCATTCTAGACTTAATTCAATAGTCTATACCAAAATTCATGCAAATCAAAAGATTAGCAGGGACTTTGGGCACCAATTACCTAAAATCGGGCGAAACTATATATGGGAGTTATTTGTAAATCTAAACCGATTTTCACGAAACTTAGCACACATCATTCTAGACCTAATTCAATAGGCTATACAACATTTCGTGCAAATCTAAATATATATAGGGACTTAGGCAGGCCATCTACCTTAAATCGGTCGAAACTATATACGGGAGCTATATCTAACTCTAAACCGATTTTCACGAAAATTAGCACACGTCATTCTAGACTTAATTCAATACGCTATGCCAAAATTCGTGTAAATCAAATGATTTTCAGGGACTTTGGTGCACCATTTACTTAAAATCGAGCGAAACTATATATGGGAGCTATATCTAAATCTTAACCGATTTTCACGAACATTAGCACACATCATTCTAGACCTAATTCAGTAGGTCTGTTACAAACATATGCACAAAGACATAATACCCTGTACCACAGTGTGGTGAAGGGTATAAAAATTCGGACGGGGCCGACTATATGATACCCTTCACCACTCTGGGTATATACAAGGGATGCTCATATGTAAAATATCCTGTAAATAGAATAGACCTAGCATCTTTGGTGACCATTGAAATGGAATCGGATGACACCAACTGTGTGAAGTAAAAAAATATTTGAACTACATTAAAACAACCCATACACATACCATTCTGAAATTTATGAAAAATTGCATGTCATTCATTTGTATGAAATGGAGCAAAATATGTATGGTGCTGTATATATGGGCAAATGTATGCTGCAGCACAGTGCGCTACCCAAAATGTATCTGGACACCAAACTCAATACACATTATTTTAGGTTCCATTTGGTACGGTGTGCACTAAATTATCTTATTCGGACAAGCTTTAGTTATTTGGTACAACATTAGGTGAAATCGGATGAAAATATATATGGAAGCTATATCTAAACCTGAAACGACTTCAATCCAATACACTATGCAATATTTCATGTAAATTGAACCGACGTATGCTCCTCCATTTACACCATTTGTATGTGGCAGCTATATTTACGTCTGAATCGATTTCTACAACAAAATTTCACGGATGTCAACCTGTACGAAAATATATATGGGGACTGTATCTAAATCTGAACCGATTTTAATTAAATTTCGCATACATCAATCAGGACCTAATTCAGTACTCTGCGCAAAATTTATCATAAACGGACAAATATTTGCAGTATGGTGCTCCATTTACTTAAAATCAGAAAAAGTATATATGGGAGTTTTATTAAAATCTGAACCGATTTTAACGATTGTAACTTTACGAACGTCAACCTGATGTACTTTCAAAACGGTATGTAAATTTTTTTCTCAATCGAACAAATATTGGCAGTATGGTGCTTCATTTACATAATATCGGACGAAACTATAGCTATATCTAAAGCTGAACGATTCCAACAAAACTTCACAGTCATCAAAGGGGACTTAATTCAGTACGCTGTGCAAAATGTTGTCTCAATCGGACATATATTGGGAGCTTGGTGCACCATTCACATTAAATCGGACGGAACTATGTATAGGAGCTATATCTAAATCTTCAATTTCAATAGG